ATCAAGTCTACGTGTCTTCATCGTCATCCTGAAGCAGATTGCAATCACAGCGATTTTTTCCACAGTAAACTACCACACGAAGCAGCAGACTCAACACCGTAAAGATGATAACAACACACATCACGGTGTAAAACCAAGGATCATTGTCACCACACGGCCGAGCATCGTGTCTGTGAAATGGGTTCAAAGCGTTCGCCTCGTCCGTAGAATTGCCAAAAGCAGTCCCGGTGAAATTAGCAGAGTCGCTCACAAGAAGGGGGAAAGAAATAAAGATGACGTTTTCTGTGAGGTACACCACGCTAACAATGGCAAAGATTATAATAGGCAAATCTTGGATAATGCAGAAAATGCTGATGATGCTAAGAGCAACGCGTATCACATAGCGCCTGATGAAGCTGCCAGAACAGATGCCGCCATTTGTACCGTTGGATTGACGGAGGCGACAGCAGCTGGAGATGAAGTAAACCACACCGTGGGGGATAATGACAATAAGAATCCAGTATTGAAAGCAAAGGGCACAGTAAACCAGTGCCAACAACCTGCCTATCATAAACATGACCATTTCAATGAAATACAGAAACGTGGCGCACGCTGATCGACTCCTTCCACCTGGGCGCGACTTTTGATAAGCCACAATGCCCCAAACGAGAGATATCATTGAAATGCTGCCAGATACCATCTGCCATGCAGCCAACTCTGATTTCAGGTCTTGGTATTTCAGCAACAGAAACAAGTTGACCATTAACTGAGGGGCAGACTCCAGCATGCTTTGAAACAACTTGCATCGAGACAGAACTGGTTCTACCCCCAGGAAGAATAAAACATGTTCCCGCATTTCCTTTTCCACGTCGGGTCTGTCACGGGGAATGGTCTTGGTTCCAGAAAGATTGATCTGCTCTTGCATCCGATTCAGTGCCTCTTCATTGGCCTTGTAAGCGTAATACATGACGAGGAACCGTCTCTTGATAAGCTTCAGATGCAAGCCCCACATCCTTAAATGCGGCAATGGAAAGTCTAAGAGAAATCTGGCATATCTAGGAATTTTATTTATGATGGGAAATTCCGATACTCTGTCGAAGAGATGGTTGTCGACGAGGGCCATAAGTATATGAGCGGGAATTAACATGCCTATGGCTACCCAGACGGGAGTGCGATACCCTTCCCCCATTTGGTAGTATAACACGATGAGTATTATATCTGTAACCATATCTGCCAGAATTAAGAATGTCATACACAGTGTTGACAGGAAGTTCAAGGACAAGGAAAACTTGAGTGCTTTATGTGAAACATTGATCAGCTTTTGTTTTGATTGCGGCCTGCTTCTACTGATCGGAAGTGAAAGGCTGTGCGGAGGAGAGTTGGGCAGGGAAACATTATCTTGTGATGAATTTTTCTCTGAATTTTCCTCCAGTTCGATCCCGCTCACATGTTGCTCTTTTTCTGCCATTCTGTCTCAAATTTTCTCAACGATGTTTTCTGAAAGGAAAATAATTTTTATTTCATCACAAAATTAGGACAGGTACAAAAGGTTGTCTTATTTTTTTTCTACTTTAAATGAAAGAGTTGGACTGGGGACCTGGTTCCGCCATTTTGATTTGTAAGGGGACAGGGAGGCAATATTCCCGCGTTTGCATAAAGAAATTGGCATAATTTATGCTTACTGATTTAGTTTATGCACTGTTAGAAATAGTCTGTATACTCTTTTTTAGTCCAAGGAACATTCTTTTCAAGTTAGACATTTGTACTACAAAATGCAGCGTTTGCCCAATTTTCGGTCCTAAAGAAGCCTACTATATGTAGTACTAAACTGGGGAACATAAATAACAAGCTGCAATATACTCTCATACATGTATTAATAAAGTCCACAGTGATCACTCCAGTTTTTTTGCTCATAACTTCCTTGTCCCAGTCAGGTCATATTACAGGATCCTATAGTGACTAGTAAAATCCTTCTATCTCAGTCCTGGTTTAATTTATTTTTTCTTCTGTTTGTTCATATTCGATGCAGTTATTACCAGGGGTGGATCCAGGATTTTTCGAAGGGGGGTCCACGGATGCGAAGCNGGAGGGCGAACCATGCCATTTGGTACGTTTTATAACTATAATTCAGCTATTCAAAATTCTAATTTCAAGAGGGGACCATTGGTGTGATTTTTTTCAGAAATGGAAGGGGGGGGGGGACAGGAACCCTCACATCCCCCTAAATCCGCCACTGTATTACAATCATTATCGCTTTGCCCGCTTTAGCAATGTCCAGTATTCCTGTTTTAAGAGTTGGGGTAGGTTTCTTCATCTCAGTCCGCAAAATTGCAGGCCTACCATAATTCACTTTTTTCCCCAGCACGTTCACTTTTTAAGTGCTATAATCTTGTATCTATTGTCACTGCGAACGACCGTCATATCCCCTACATTGTCTAGTCAACCATGAAGACGGTTTTATTCAATTCGCTTGACTGTGTGACCGATTTCAATGTCTCTATTTTTTTTTTTCAATTATGGTAGGCCTGCACTCACTTGGAGGCAGGCCTATCCTAAAGTCATTATTCGGTAGTATGTGTAATTCAGATTAATCAACCAATTAAAGAGACAGTCGGTGGGTTGGAGAACGATTATTCGGTTGGAGAACGATTATTGGTTTTCACGAAATTTAAATCAATGATATACTGTCAACCTACATGTACATGTTTATATACTTGGATAAAATATATCCAATCTGTAGTACAGCCAGTGACCTACCCTCTACCAGGGTGGCAGATATTAGGCCTACAGGGAAATTTTGAAAAAGCCAGAGAATGAAATTACTGCCTGTTTATCAAAAGACATATATCCGTGAATATATCTTGTGAAAATTTTAATTTTAAAATCTGCCGCCCTGGTAGAGGGTAAGTCAGATCGGTGTTTGGAAGTTGAAAACACAATATTGAGGCTCAGTTACGTGTACCACGCTCGACTGTCACCTTGGTTGGTTGATGAATCTGTAATAGGCTACACATACAATGTCTGACATTGTACTAGTAGGCCTACATGTAAAAGGCGTAAAAAACGACCTGTGGATATCATAGTCAAAAGGCGTAAAAAACGACCTGTGGATATCACAGTCAGTCTACAGTGTACCATAATGGGAACATCTGATCAAAATATAGGCCCCTATGTGGCGACTTTATTAAATTGATAAAAAATAGTGTACTTAACCGATTCTGATCATGTTTTTCATATTACAATAGACTAATAGTGTGCACTGTAAGAGTGGTATTTTAAAATCTATTTACGTGAATTTTATGTCTATCAACCAATCTGTAGTCCTACAAAACAGACATCAGGTATAGGCCTACGGGTCTCTGAAACTCACTGCATGACAACTTACTACACTGTGCTAGTTCTAGTAGGGGAGAGCGGGGTTGGTTGGAACACTTTTCACCTTTTTTGCGATATCTCAGCAGTCAAAGCTTTGGGGACAAAAATAAAAACACTGATAGGAGATAATTATATGCCGCACTCATCTATGAAATAAAACATCAAGTAGGTCTTTTTATTTTAGAGTAATAAATGCTCAAAGTTGCCTCTTAAAACGTTCCATCTCAAATGCAGAGTAATAATCGACATTTCCTTCCACTTCTAACAGCAATTTATCGCAAAGAGCAACAGTGGGCATGCAGACCCCTTTCGACCAAACAGCTAGCAACTGCAATTAACAAGCAGTGACCATCCCCCCTTGTATCTTCTACAGGCATGTAGCCTACATTCCGGCATCTTGGAGATGTTCTACCAGCTGGATTTCGTCTCCAGTTGGAGTTGTATTGGATTACTACGTTACTCTCCTTAAAGTTGAAAATAAATCATTTAGAGAGAAATTGAAAAACACCGTGCGGGGTGGGTTGGAACACCCCTGACAGTGTTCCAACTGGCCCCATGACGTCATGGCCTACTTATGACACTGTATTTCTTTAACACGTGGGAGGTGAAAAAAACTACAGCTTTTTGAACATAAAGGTGGTCCTAAACGCTATGCACAATTTCAGTGATATAATCCTTATACTTTAGTTTACAGCACGATGAATGTCAAAAATATGAAAAGTTACTTCGAGTGGCGAAAATAGGTTTTTTTCGCATAAAACTTTTACCGTACTTTCGAAACTTCCAAAAGTTTACAGGATGAATAACCATGCCACGTGACATTTTTATGCTGAAGGAGCACATGATCGGTCTTGTGATTTAAGAAATAAAGCCAATGTTCCAACTTACCCGCGTTCCTACCCACCCCACTCTCCCCTACTAGCAGTTCAGGACAGCGTCAGTGATAACGAAACCCTTATTTAATGTAGATCTACATGTACTTACTGTGTGCTTGAGTAAGTGTAGGCTACTAACTGGATGTAGGGCCTACAGTTCGAGATTGTAGCCTTCCAGGTACCTCTGAGTATAGGGTCGTCGTCTACCAATATCTTAAATGATCCGGAATATTGGCACGGTGCTTTGGTCCCGTACGTACGACCATGATGAGTTTACCTTTGAGCATTAAATTTTTACCCTGGTGCTTTCTGTTTGCTGCCTGAGTTGGAGTCTTTTCAAATGCAAAGTAGGCTACAATTCAAGAACTAGGTTAAATACACAGATTCTCATATTTCAGGTGCCTGATTGGGGCATCTCGGTTAAAAGTCCAACTGGTAGGCCTATGTAAAACCTGTTTTTAATTTTTTTATTTTTTTCTCATACCTGTACGAATTTCGAATAATCAGCTACAATTTATTAAACATCAAATCTGACATGTCTGAAAGTGAAAGATCAAACATTTTTCTTGCAGACAAAAACCAGTATATATACGTTGTTTTAACATTTAAAAGTGCGTATGTTGATGAAACTTGCTTAAGCACTTCCACAACATATATGGAAATCATTTTATTATTGTTGGATATTTGTATTTGTGGTATTTAACAACGTATCCTTTTGAGTCAGTCAGCAAGGGTAGCATCTTGAACTCGGCGATCAGTTTGCCACCTAGCGGTAAATCCACGATGAAGGAAGACTCTAGAAAGAACAAGTAAGGTGTTGGTGCAGTGCTGAAGTAGTTACATATACCCGTACGTACCTTTTGTTTTATTTATTAAAGCAACAAGGCGAAAGCTGAATATATATTGAAACAATTTTGTTGTAGTAACAAACGTTAATGTAAGACTTGTTGCACCTTTACCTTTACATGTACATGTACGTACAGTAGCACGTAAGCTAGGTATATCAGAAAAATTTTCAAACTGATCAGAAAATTAAAATACTTATATCATCTGAAAGGTAATGCAAAAACCGGATGAAATCATTTGGAATTTTTTAAATATTCCTACAAGCAACAAAGATATTGAAGTTTTTTAACTGCAAAAATCCACCAAAAGTGTCCACACTTCTCAGCTCAAAACCTGTGCCCACTGACCAGCAGTGATCACTCAGGCGCAGCAGAGCACCGTGTGTCTTTGTGTGCTCAGCCTATTGTCTGGCTCACATAGCCTGTGACTAATCAGGGCAGAGCTATTTCCCTGTGGTAATTTTCACATCATGTAATATTGCGGATTAAATTAACTATACTTCGCAACCTTCAAATTTCATGATTTTTCTACATAATATAGCAAATTTCATAAACTTTGCTGGATATAAATTTCAAAAAGATGATACCAGCACTTACCTGAAATTTTTTAGCATTTTGTAGAGGCAAAACTTAAAACAAGCAGAACCGAAACTTGTCAAAGACTGCAACATGGGAAAATCATGTGACCGGATTTTACTCTTTGATTTACAACTTATTTAGTTAATGGCTTGTATTAGTTTTTTTACGCAGCGCTAAAAGAGAGATTTAAAAAAGGGGTTCCATAGGCGAACTGTCAGCAGGCCGACTTCAGTTTAACACTTCACTGCCCGTGGACAGTTACGACTGTAGCGCCCCTAGCGGATTGTGATCTACCTACGTAAGCGTTAGCACAGCCAGTACATATCAGAATCGTCAACAGGAGTGCTAACGCTTGAATTTTCGTGCTACATGTATTGGTACAGTGTATTAATGTTAACGTGTGTGCGTGTCTGTGTGTGCGTGTGCGTGCTTTTTTGTCGTGGACCCATCATCATATTGTATACAGTATTATAATATATATGGACCCAAGGTGGCATAAACTTATTCGATTCTAGATGTTCGTCATCGTATTTATGTTTTATATTTAATAATGTGCTAGAGTAACACCTAGGCTCGTAGCCGGGGTGTCAGGGGGTTCGGAAGAATCCCCCCTTTTTGCTTGGAAAAAAGGACCCCTCTGCGGGTAAAATTTTATCAAGGTATGCAAAGGTTTCATGGTAAAAGGTCCACTTTTCAGAAAAAGAACCCCTTTCTGAAATTGCTGGCTACTGAATAGTTTATTATGGGTAAAGTACAAGTGCATGGATGACTCACTAAAACACAATACATAGTTTTCTTTTATGACATGTATAGTTTATTTTATGACATGTACATGTATTTTCATCAACATCTTTCAGATCACATACTGTCCAGCTGAGGCATGGGTGTTAAAGGACTGTGGCCAGTCCTGGAGGATGTCAAGCAGGTGGTCACTCTGAGGTCACTGAGAGGTCAAACTGTGGCCATTGATCTCAGTGGGTGGATTGTCCAATCCCACGGGTTGAAAGACTACAAGGGCACACATCAACATTTACGGTAAATACCCATGAATGGTGTAAGGTGTACCAATATGTGCACGTATGTTGATTCAGCTCAGGATGCCAAGATGGAGATTCCTGCTCTCTGTATTTCTATAATATTCAAATATTCAGATTATAGGCCTGATTTACCACACTATAGTATACTGTTCTGTACTGGTAGATCAGCAGTCAAACAATGAGCAGTTGAAATTTTGTTATTTTCTTTTTTTGCAACATTCATTGACAATGTGCAATACAATAAAAAGAACTTAAGTTGTACATGTAGCTCATTTTATGAAGTGGTATCAACATGGAGTGAAATTATGTACAAAAAAGGACAGGAAAGGTTTTTTTAACTTGATGCTTTAAAATACTTATTATGATATGAATCAACCTGTTAGGAATGCATGTTATATAATATATGTGATCACAATTGATCAAAATCTGTTAAGTTGGTCTGTACATATACAGGTTGAATACGTGTGGGTGTGTACAGTATGACGTGTGTATAAAAATGTTTGTATATTTTTTTCAGGAACCTGTTTTTTAAGGTGAAGCGGTTTCTTATAGATGGGATCAATGCTGTGTTTGTATTGGATGGCTCAGAACCTGCCAGGCTGAAATATGAAACTGTCCGCAACAGACGGTCAGTGCAGAGTGGACACGTTGCTGATACTGACCAGTGTGACCAGCAGAAGGGATATCTTGGCGCCAGCTCTCACTGCGGGGAGGAAAGAGAAGGAATGGATGAGAGAATTGTTAGAAGTAAACGATTTGAACAGATAGTAGAGCAGGTCTGCATAAATGGTGGTTGAGATTATTTAGTACATATTATGAAAATATAGTGATGCTTGGTTGAAAATGTGGAATAAAATTACTGATTATCTATTTGTAAAAAGTTATCAGTAAGCTCGATCTTGCTTCCAAGAAATTTTATAATTTGTATTTATGTTGTTACTTTTTTAGTTCTAAAGTAAGTGATTTGTCTAATAAAAAAAGTAAGTGATTACTATTACTAAAATGTCAGTAGATGTGAAAAGTTATTTGAATTTTCTTTTACAAATGAACCCATGGAAAGTTACTATGATAATGACTGATCTTTTCACCTAACTTAATTGAGTCTGTGATAGTGGCTCTGGCTTCATACGTGTCTGAAATGCCAGTGTAATTGCAGCTTGGAAAGTAAAATTTTAGAAATGTGTACAGTGAATGGCCATAATTTATGTTATGGGCCAGAGTTTCTTAGACCCTGGGGGTGGCTAAATAGTTATTGGCACAGACTGTTATTATGTGAGTTACATCTCCTAACGGCCCCTTTACACTGGACGGCGTCCTTTCTGCGTCCAGCAGTATGGCCCCATTTGAGAGTTAAAAAATTATAATATTTTACGTGCCGACAACTGGCCGGTCATTGAGCATTCTTCTGATACAAAATCAGTGCTCGTGCTTCCTTATTAAGACCACAGCGATGCCAAATTTCATGGTCGCAGAGAGGACACAGAAAGGACGCCGTCCAGTGTAAAGGGGGTATTAGGGGAGAAGTGCTTTTTTCAGTGCTGTTATTTGTTGCAGCATTTGTTGTTCTCTAGAGTCCATAGGTGCAGTTTGTTTTGGATCCCCCTGTATCCATGTATTGAATTGCTTCTTCCAGTGCCATGAATTGCAGCAGTATTTTGGATCCCCCTGTATCCATGTATTGAATTGCTTCTTCCAGTGCCATGAATTGCAGCAGTATTTTGG